CTCTTCTCTTCTTTCACGCCCCTCTTCTCTCTCTCTATCTCACTCACTCTTCTCTCTCTCTCTCTCACTCACTCTTCTCTCTCTCTCTCTCTCTCTCTCTCTCTCTCACTCTCGCTCTCTCTCTCTTTCTTTCTCTCTCTCTGTCTCTCTGTCTGTCTGTCTGTCTGCCTGCCTGTCTATCTCTCTCCTCTCCTGTCTCTCTCTCTTCCCCCCCCCTCTCTCTCTCTCTCTCTCTCCTCTCCTCTTCCCCCTTCTCTCTCTCTCTCTCTATCTCTCTCTCTCTCTCTCTCTCTCTCTCTCTCTCTATCTCTCTCTCCTATCCTACCTCTCTCCTCTCACTCTCTCCTTCTAAAGGAAAAAAATCTCACGTAAGCTTGGCGTTGTACCAGCATCCTCTCACAGGTTTTATAATATCGCTTTTTTCAGGATGTGATGCTGATTATGCTGGTGCGATAGTGTCCGTAAGTGTAAGGCGGAGTCCCTGTCGGTGATCTTGACACAGGAAGTTCGCCTCTTCGAACAAATAAACAGGTGGATGTTCGCCCCTTCAGCCAGGGTATTGCAACGGATATTCTAAACGTGTGTTTGTGTTCTAATCAATATCCACATAATACAACTTATCCCTGTAACATCATGTAATGTATGTGTCATTTATTTTGCTGTTGCGTTGATCGTCTCAACCTAATACGGTGACAAACTAAATAGTACAGTTCAACTTATTTTAGACCCAGTGATGGTCTACAGCAACAACTCAATATCACGAAATACAAAACATACAGAATAAAGACCACAAACAACAAACAAACCATAACAATTATATACCATGTGTATTCTCAACTAACTGCCCATTATCATAGTCAATAACACAAATGCCGGACTAACACTTCCACATACAAGTTTACGTGACTTACAATAGTTAATGTAGAGGACGAGTTAATTAAAACCAGAAAATGAAACCCCTGTTGCTTCACTGACCCTGAAAGACATTGCAATGAGGCAATGATGATGTAATGACCGAGAGGCGACGGTTGACAATATCTTTAAATACAATTATTTTGGTAGTAGTAATAAGTGAACAGGGCAAGTTAAAGAGTGGTGGTAATGATACTGAGAGAGGTAGAGGTTGCAAGTGATGATGCAACGAGCAAGACGATGATGGTTGACATAACAAGCATCATCGTCGACATAACAAGTATAAAGATGAAAGGGAAAAAATGAGATCAAAGGATAATGGGGGGAGGAGGAGGGAGGAGGGGGAAGGGGAGGAAGAGGAGGAGGAGGAGGAGGAAGAGGAGGAGGAGGAGGAGGAGGAGGAGGAGGAGGAGGAGGAGGAGGAGAAGAAGAAGAAGAAGAAGAAGAAGAAGAAGGAGGAGGAGGAGGAGGAGAAGAAGAAGAAGATGAAAAAAATAAGAAGAGGAGGGGGAGGAGAAAAACAAAGGAGGAGAAATTGGGATCAAAGAACGATCGGAGGAAAGAGTATGAGGAGAAAAAGAAGAGGAAGAAGAAAAAATAAAGAAAAAGGACAAGAGAGAAAGAAGTCAGAGATGCGACAAAAGAAGTGGAATTGCAGAAAGACAAAAAGACAAAAAAGAAAATAAAAGACTGAAAGAAGAGCGAAGGAGTACCAAGAGACAAATAAAAAAAAAAAAACAGGAAGGAGACAAGCAAAGGAAAAACAACAACAACAAAAAGCGAGAGACGATCGAACACACGAGGACCAGCGCTCTCACCAGCCCCGTCGGCGCCATCCTGGGACTCGGCCGAAATTTGTTTCCACCGAACTATGCCTTATCCGGAATCTATATCAACCTTAATCTACATCAACCGGAATCTATATCAATCGGAGTCTACATCAACCGAACTCTGCCTCAACCGGAATCTATATCAACCAGAATCTATATCAACCGGAGTCTACATCAACCGAACTCTGCCTCAACCGGAATCTATATCAACCAGAATCTATATCAACCTTAATCTACATCAACCGAACTCTGCTTCAACCGGAATCTCCATCAAACCGAAATCTTCAAGCGAACTCTGCCTCACCCAAAAATCTGTCTCAACCACACACCCGCTTTCCGCTCGACCATCAACTTTCAAACAAACATCGCATCAACTCCCCCCCCTCCCCCCTTCCCCTGTACCCACTCCCCCATTCCCTATCTTCACTTCCTGTTTCTTCTGTCTTGAGGAGTATGGTGGAATGAGAAGAGAGGGAAGGAAGGAAGGAAAAGAGAGAGGGAGAAAGATGGAAGGAGGGAGGGAAGGGAGGGAAGGAGGGAGGGAAGGGAGGGAAGGAGGGAGGGAAGGGAGGAAAGGAGGGAGGGAGAGAGAGGGAAGGAGGGAGGGAGAGAGAGGGAAGGAGGGAAGGGAGGAAAAGAGAGAGGAAGAGAGAAAGAGGGAAGGAGGGAAAGGGAGGAAAGGAGAGAGAGGGAGAGAGAGAGAGAGAGAGAGAGAAGAAAAAATGTAGAAGAGAAGAGAAAGTAACAAGCAACAGCAGCAGAATTCAGAAAAAAAAAAAAAAAAAAAAAACACGAGATCAGTACTTCTCTCGCTAGCCTCCCCCCTTCCCCCTCCCTCCCCCCACACACTCCCTCCCCTGTCTCATGGCAGAAGCAGGGTAGCCAACCAGTCTCTCCGCCGTTCAAATTGTGATGGCCTTAGTCCTGCCCCCCCCCCCTCCC